TACTAGGCAATACCTCCCATGCTAGATGACTGGCTACTGCCTAATTCTCATGGCAACCTGAGTCCTCTTTGATTATCAGTGTTTGTGTCAGTGTTCCAGCACACAGATGCAGAGCGGAAGCAAATATTGTGTGGGAGTTATTTGCTTGAGTGTTCTGATCTGGTCTGGAATGTATGAGAGCTTTGTGAACGTGGCTATGATAGTTTCAATCCCCCAGGACAGTGAAGGAAGAGAAAGATCTGCTATGCCCGCACCATGCACTATACTGGGTATGCATGTATTAGTAATTGGTCAAAAAAAAAAAAAAAAAAAAAACACTTTTAAAATAGGTAAAATAGCATGGCTCTTGTTTTACATTGAGGAAGCTAAGTCTTGGGTGAGGCTGAATTTTTTGTCCAGAGTCACATGCTCTATGGCAGAGCCACAGTATTCCATACCAAGACTATTTGGAAAAACTGAGCTCCCACTGTTCTTACTATACTTGGTATTCAGATTCTTGGGGGTGCTAGGTTGATCTCCTGAGGTTCTAATTTGTAAGAAAGCAAATCTGTGGAAAAGGCAAAGGGGGGATATGTTGGGTTCATTTGACTTCTGCAAGTGTTCTTCAGTGGGAAAAACACCATCCTCATCCTCATTAACCACATACATTGTGAACACTACGTTGAGCCCAGTTCTTACAGTCAATGAAATGATTGTGAATGCCTCTGCTTGCTACAGGGACATTAATCGAGAGACAAAGAAGGCATCAATTCAAACGTCCTTGGACACCTTTTTTAAGAGACCTGGGCCATCCAAACCATCCCCCAAAGCCCTTCTAAATTCTAAGAAGGCAAGCAAAATTATTGTTAATAAAATGTTTACTGTTTATTATGGCTAGCCTGTTAGCTTAGGTCAAATTTCTAGTATCATAGAGTTGTGAATTTTTTTAGCAGTATTTACACATTACATTGGGATCCTAATAATTTGTGTGTTTTTTGCGTGTTGGGCCTTAAAGCACAATTTTGCTACTTTAAACAATTCTAGCTAGAGTACTAGAGTTATTTGGTATTTATTGTTGTTTACTTGCTTTCATTGCATTTTTCTAGCATACTTTTTGGCATGTCCAGAGTATTTGATGACAGGTGCTTTGCCAGGAGTAGCCAAAAATCTTGGAAACAAGAGCCGTTAGTGGCCCTGTGAATGAAGTAGTCAACAAAACTCTAGCTTGAACATTGCAGAGCATTAGATAAATATCAGAGGATGTATTGTATGTTTTTTTTTTTATGCACGCATTCCTAGGAAATAATTTTGAGATGTAAATGGCTCATTCCTTTAAAGACTTTTTAGAATAAACCTCTTTGGGGGAGCTATTTATTTATGGTTGTGTCTTAGCTGATGTAGAGTCAGACTGGGAGAAGTGAAAGCTGGTATACGCTGGTTATTTGTCTGGGGGGCATTGCAGCAGTTTTCCCCTCTGGTAAGAAGTCATACCTGGCTTCTGGAGGTCAGGGCCTGTCCAGCATGAAACCTAATCTGAAAGCTACTCAATACAAAAGCAGCTCTCCTGAGGTCTAGAAAGGCCAGGGATAGCTTTCTTAAGATAGCAGGGCTGGCTTATATAAGCACATTATTTGATCCACAAACTCTGAAATTGTTGTACATTTGTGTTTGAGGGGTACAACACTTGCCCATGGCTGTAACCCTGCTCTGTAAAGTCCTCCCTGGCTTTTAGTTCTTAAGGCTGCTCTGAGAGTAAGCCCAGCATGGGAGTATCTTCCTAATCAGGGACATGAAAGTCCTTGGTGTTCAGGTCAGTAGCTCTATCCTCTCAGGGGCTGGACAATCAGTACAGGAGGCTTTGTGGACCACATAGTCCCTGTCACACTGCTCACCTCTGCCATTGTAGCACAGAAGGAACCAGGCATATTACTTGAATAAATGTGGCTATGTTCCAAGGAAACTTTATTTTATAAAAACAGGTGGTGAGCCAGAATTGGCTAGTGATCTGTGGTTTGCTAACCCCTGCTCTAAAGCGGATTTTCAAATCACTTTATATCTCCCCAGAAATTGCAAGGATTCCTCAAATCCTGAAAACAAGTTTTTGTTTTGTCTGCATTTCTTCCCAGGTCCTTATGAATGTTGCACTAGCTTTCCAAGTAAAGCATCAATGCCTTTTAATATCAACTTTTTAAGAGCTTATTTCATGCAGATGCCCTCTTAATGTTTGTTTAGGGCTTTTTAGTATAAATTTCTTAGAACATATCAAGTCTTTTCTTTTGACTTAGAACGTTAAAAGTTGATATTTGTGAAACTAATGTACTCCAGGCTTATTGCCCTGTTCTAAAAGCACCAAACTGGGTACTACAATATATTTTTGTGTTTGCTTTTTATTTACAGCTCCCTCTTTTCTCACTTAGGAGGGTTTGCTGTCACTTCCTGTTGCTGTCTCCTGACTTACCTGTAAATAGAACCTCTGCCTTCAATTTCTTAATTCACTCTTAATTGAAATTTAACAGACCTGGGATTGAAATACTTGTGCACTGTTACAATATAACAAATGAAGATCCAGTAAAATGCATGGGATATTTTTCTTACCCACTTTGGCTACTCAGAAAAACTGTGGACCAAGTTTTAGATCTTAGCTGTTTTAGATATATGAAATGGATGGTTCCAAAAACGTAAAGTACTGTAGCAAAATTCAAGGTATGGCAAAATCAAGAATTTTACATCAGAAAAGTCTGGTTATCATGTCAATCTTTTCTCCAAAACTTTAAAAAGAATAAAGGTATAATATGTCTCTATATTTCTGAAATTTGAACTCTTGAGTCGCCTTCCTCCCCAACCTTCCCCCGTTTATTAACTCTTGTCTTCCCTGAAAATTCTGCATTGCAAAACCTCATACTTTATTATATTCTGTCCCCAAGTAGAATTTTAAGCACCTTGAGATCGAGGATTTTTATCTCATAAATCTTTGAATGTTTCCCTGTGTTAAGGTTTGAACTAAGTTTATTAGACTCCGATTGTTTCATGCTATGAAAATATCTGTTTTTAAAACTTACTTCAAATTTATATTTCTTTAGACTAAATGCTGAAAAAGAGTTCTGAGAGAATGGTTATAGGAAAGGAGGGACTGAGCCTAGTATACTAATATAAAGGTGGCGTGGGGCTTGATAATTTTTTTTCTTATGTAGAAGACTGAGTGGGTAGCAGCCGATTGAGAGACTAGAATTTTACCTCTTCAGATAAAGTTTAGGAGTTATGTTCTTTGATCCTTTCCTTCAGAAAAAGTTGGATTGTCTGAAGAGCCTGGATCTATTTAACTGTGAAGTCACTAATCTGAATGATTACCGAGAGAGTGTGTTCAGGCTCCTGCCCCAGCTGACCTACCTGGATGGCTATGATCGAGAAGACGGGGAAGCCCCCGACTCAGATGCAGAGGTGGATGGTGTGGATGAAGAGGAGGAGGATGAAGGTGAGTGGGCTCTACATCTGGTGACCTCAACTTATCTGTAGGGGCTGGCATTTGGTGGGTACTCTGTACCTGTATTTTATAGCCCAAATAAAAATAAAATAACTTTCTTGCCTTTGATGCCAACTGGAGTTTAAGAAGGTAATGATTTTAATGTACGTGTGGTAAATTCCCATTTCTACTAATAAGGAAAATAATCTGTGTTCACAATGTAGAGTTAAAACATACTTTTCAATATTTTTGGCATCAGAGTTTTTGCATTCCAGGTGTCTTTAAGAATCTTATTATATATTCTACCCAAAATATCCCTCCTGATTTGCTTGTGTTTTCCTTGCACTCTGACTTGTGCACTTAGAGGAGTAAAAGATTTACTCTCAGGAATAAAAGATTTCTCACCTTCAGGTGGTAGAGGTATTTGTTTTTACACCAGTTAACATGAAGAAAATTTGGTCTCAGAATTCTGATGTTTCTGGAGTTTATGCTATTATATTTTAAACATTTTTTTTAAATGTCTTTAAAAGTTACAGGACAGCTGGGTGCAGTGGCACTTTGTCTGTAACCCCAGTGGCTTGGTAAGCTGAGGCAGGAGGATCGCAAGTTCAAAGCCAGCCTCAGTAACTCAGACTCTGTTTCAAAATTAAAAAAAAAAAAAAAAGAAAAGGGCTGGGGGTGTGGCTCAGAGGTTAAGCTCCCCAGGCTTAACCCCAGTAACCCTAATTCACAAGACAGAGTAGTTAATAAAATGGAGGAGGAGGAAAAACATCAGACAGCTTTGGGTACAAGTTTGGCATAGGATCTGGAATCATTTTTATAGTTTTGTTTTATAACAGATTGAGATAAGCAAAAGTTAATGGCATACAAGGTGGTAAATAGACAGAGTAAGACATTTTGCTTAGTTTCAAATATTTATGTCCTTTCACGGCAGGTTTCCTAAAAACATTGGTGTTTCTTGTTATCTAAGTTCACCTTGGACTGGTGGGTCAATCATACTTGCAGGTGCTTGTAAAGAAAACTAGGCAAGTGGAGGGTAGTTCCTCAGAGCAAAGATCAGTCAGGCTACAAATTTCAAAGATGCTGGTAGGGAACTGAGGACTGAACTCCCAGCCTCAAGCATGCTTATAATAAGGATGTGCTCTACCACTGAGCTGTACCCCCTGCCAGGCAGAAAATATTTCAGTACTTATAAGTGAGGTGTGATGGAGAAGCACCACTGAGAGCCTGTAGCCTGGGGTTTGGAGGTCTCCTCCTGGCAGAAGTGATGGAACTGAGACTTGGGGGCTGGTCAGAGCCGGGCAAGCAGGGAAGAAAGGGCAGAGCCTGCAGGAGGCAGGGAGCATGTGAGCTCTGGGACCCCGAAGACGGGAGCTGCTATTGTATTAGAGGTCAGCACTGGTGTGGAGGTACAGGTAACCAGGTTACCTTGTAACCAGAGGATAGGGCAGGAGATGGTTCCTGATTGGAGAAGGTGGCTCTAAGTATTATTACCCAAGAGATTGCTTTTAAAAACAAAACAAAACAAAACTTTATGGTAGAAAATTGCAGGTCATCAGGTGGACATGGTAATACACACCTATCCCAGCTACGTGGGAGGCTGGGGCAGGAGGATCACATGTTTGAGGCCATCCTGGGCTACTTAGCAAGCCCCTGTTTCCAAAAGGGTTAGGATGTAGCTTAATGGCAGAACATCCCTGCATTCAATCTCTCATTAACAAAGGTACAATAACATTAAGACAAATCCCTGTGTTCCTAACACTCAGCTTTAGCAATGATTGGTTGTATCTTCTCTTATAAACACATACCCCTACCCATGTTCTCCTCCTGTGTTTTATAGCAAATCCTAGTTGTATTGTTTCATCAGTAAGAGTTGTATACATCAGGACTTTTGAGCCTTTTGACTTGAAACAAAAGGCTGAGCTGTAGCACCTGGTGGGCAGATGGTGGCTGCAAGCCTTTTCTAACATTGGACAGTGGACAAGTGCTTGGCTGCACTGGCATCCTGTGGGCCACCCTGTGGTGCCCATGTGTCTATAGGAGCACCCATGGAGCAGCAAGGTATCTTATTAACGCCATTTTGGACTGTTTTCAGAAGGAGAAGATGAAGAAGATGAGGAGGATGAGGATGGTGAGGAGGAAGAGTTTGATGAAGAAGAAGATGAAGATGAAGACGAAGATGTAGAGGGGGAAGAAGATGAAGATGAAGTCAGCGGGGAGGTTAGTCCATGCATCTGTTTCCTGCCCTGCTTCACTTTGTTCTGAAGGCAAAGGTGGGGTTAAGAAGAAAGACTAGGAAAAGGCCTCCTGCATAAACAAATAATGTGACCAATTCAGCTCTTGTCCCACTTTAAATACTAAATGCAGTGCCTACTAATTGCTAATTAGGCATGGTGCTTGACCCTGCGGGGTAAATTTTGGCCCTTTGACTAGAGGAAGGAACAGGTTGAGTTTCAGCAGAATGGAAAGATGAAACACTGAGAATTGATAGTATGTGGGCTCCTTTGTTGTACTGATGGAAGTATATGTTTACCAAGTCCAAACATCTTAAATTTGGTTTAATTAAGTAAACACATTGCATGCCTACTTGGTAAAAAGTCAGAGCCGAGTTAAATAGGACTGTGGTCCCGCCCTAAAAGAGCAGGTGGTCTCGTTTATGGGACAGTAATTCAGTGTCCTGAGGACTCTGTAGAAGGACAGGACAAAAGAGTGCCTTAGCTTTGACCCTCAAGGAAGTTTGAAAATAGACAGAAAACATGAGTTTTCATCAGTCAGCATGCTCTTGTGAAAGTAAAGCATTTCTGTGAAGTCCTAGGTTTATGATGACTTAAGAACTTGAAGCAAGCGCCGTGTGAGAATGAGAGTGTTAGTGGCACGGCACATGCAGCTCCGTGGGGCCGAGTACTTACCCACCATGTGAGGCTCTGCTCTCATCCCTAACACGAAACCTGCTTTGGAACTCAAAATTTTAAAACCATTTCTTGAATTTTCTGTTTTAAGTTATATACTAATGAAAGCATCTCTGGCAAATAAACTGCTTATTTTTGACTACTAATTATTTTTTAAGAAAAATATTTTAAATTAAACTCATTTAACTAAAACCAGATCTCAGTACATCAGAGTAGATAGATAAAAATAACATTATGGTTTTCTCTGCAACGTATTGTTGTGTTTATTTGCAAAGTCTCGTCAGTTTGTCAATCTAATGTCATATTGTTTACCATGCTTTAGGAAGAAGAATTTGGGCATGATGGAGAAGTAGATGAAGATGAAGAAGACGAGGACGAGGATGAGGATGAAGGTGGGTCTGAGGCATACATTTTGGTCCTCAACTAAAAATTAGATGAAAACATGCTTTTAAATGTTTTTAGGCACCATTATTTGGCTTACTGCTGCTAAGCATAAGATTTTTCTGTGTTAGGAGTTCTTTCATTAAAAAAGGATTATTCATAATTGGATCATAATTTTTCAAGATGTATAAATAGCCACCTTTCCAGTTTTGTCAGTTTTCCTCCTTTTCCCTCAACCAATACGAATGAAGTGGCTATTACTTATTTAGTACTGATAGAAAGTACTGGTTCTCAGCCAGACACAGTGGTGCACACCTGTAATTCCAGATACTTGAGACTGAGTTAGGAAAATGACAAGTTCAAGGCCAGCCTCAGCAATTGGTTAAAAGGTCAAGTTTTTTTGAAAAGTGGGGATCACGCTCAGCTACAGAGCATCCCTGGCTTTAGTCCCTAGAACTGCAGAGAGAAAGAGGAGAGGAAGGAACAGTGCAGATCCTTTTGTGATTGAGGTCTCAGCCAGGCTATTGCTTTGCTTTCCGTTTGTTCAGTCTTGCTCAGCACCTGCCCTGTGCCGAGCATTGGATTAAACTTCACACTGAATATGACATTGGGTAGGACATGCTCACTGCCTTCAAGGAACTTTCGGGGACATGATTTAAATAGATTTAGTTAATTTCATTAAAATAGTCATGAGTTTTTATTTTAATTTGCTGTCGTTAGTCTTATGCAAGTTCCATGCTGGAGTACCTTCTATGGTATCTTATTTAATTCTCAGAATGACACATTCATGTCAATATTATTGCCCCTCTTATAAAAAGGAAACAGGCTTAATAGGTTAAGTTTTTTGTCCAAGGTTGCTTATAAATGAGCATGTCTGAAAAACAGGCTTGCTAACTCCTGAGTCTTTGCTATGCATATTAATAATTTTTAGATTATTAGAACCAAGAAATTAAGAAAAATGAGAAATATTTGAGCTGGGTGTGGTGGTGCACTCCTGTAATCCCAGTGACTTGGAAGAAGGAGGCAAGAGAATGTCAAGTTCAAGGATAACCTGGGCAATTTGGTGAGGCCTTGTCCCAAAATAAAATATAAATGGCTGGAAATGTAGCTCAGTGGACGAGCACCCCTGGGTTCAGTCTCCAGAACTGGAAGGAAAAAAATATAGAAATAACTTGGAAAAAAAACAAAGTTGAAAAACTTAGGTTAGCTTTGGTGTGTGGGTAGAGGTGCTGCTGCATTTTGCCCATCTTGGTTCTGTGGTCTACAGATTTCCTTTTAATTAATGCCTCTTAATCAATAACCTGTTAGTCTGGTCCAATTTACATCTTTCTTAGTCTTACAACAACAAATTGCCTCCATTAGCAATATCCTAGGCAAATGCCTTTCCACTGGTCTGAAAGTCACTTTCTATTATTGTACAGAGGAGGAAGAAAGCGGGAAAGGTGAAAAGAGGAAGAGAGAAACAGATGATGAAGGAGAAGATGATTAAGACCCCAGATACACTGCAAAACAGAACTGTTCAGTATTGGTTGGACTGCTCATGGATTTGATAGCTGTTTAAAAAAGAAAAAAAAAAGGTAGCTGTGATACAAACCCCAGGACGCCCACCCACCCAAAGAGCCAAAGAATAGTTCCTGTGACATTCCGCCTTCCTCCTTTTAGTCCCTCTTGGTAATCCACCACCAAGCTTGGGGACTTTGCCCCAACAAAATTGTAAGCATTGTTAGGTTTTTTGTGTAAGACTCTTGCTGTAGCATGGATAGCTGTGATTGGTGAGTCAACTGTCCGTGGCTACCAGTCACACTGAGATTGTAACAGCATTTTTACTTTCTGTACAACAAAAAAAGCTTTGTAAATAAAATCTTAACATTTTGGGTCTGTTTTTCTATGCTGTTCGTTTTAATGACTTTTTTTTTTTTT